GGTCGCACTGGGGTAATGTGCATGGTGGGCCGTCTTGGGAGAGGCCATATTGGGCCGCTTTGTGTACATGTTTGGCCGTCTTGGAAACATTTTGCGGTTATTATCTTGAGGGGCCATCTTGGATCTCGGGAGGCCATTTTGGAGGCTATCTGGGAGGCTATCTGGCCTCTCGGGGCCATATCGGTGGAGGCCATCTTGGAGGCGCCCTGGAGCCACGCTCTGGGCATTTCGGGTTACTTCTGAGTGGCACCTCTGCGCAGCATGGGCACGATCGCGCGCCGCGACTTTCAAATTGGGGAAGTCTTTTACCATCGCCTCCCGTATCTCTGTCACCGTCGCGCCAGACAAGAGGGGGCCTAATTCCCGCCCGGCGAGCTGCTCGTCCGAGGCCCCGTCCGCCGCGAAACACTCTACAGTGGATGCAATCTTACGCAGCAGCTTCTCGTCGACATGGGCGGGCGCGGAGTCGGGCAAAGGCGGCGGCTTTGGAGTGCACGGGCTTGGCAATCCAAGGAGCGCAGCTCGACGAAGGCTGTCAGATCCACAACATCCGATGTCAGGAACTTCCCTGCTCAAGTCAACGATGCCCTCGTGCACGTTAAGCTCCGAATCGCTCCACCGAAACCTCATCAAGAAACGAGTGCCTCGCTTACCTTGTTGGATGCTGGTGGATACTGCTTTGCGCAGCACTTCCCCGTTGAAATCTCGTTTCGCTTCAGCCAGCGCCCGCTGCATCCTCCTGACTTTCTTGGATCCAGCAACGTTTGGAATACCGTGGATACTCGTTGCCCGCTCTTTATTGTTAATAACTGCTAACCAGTCATCACGACGTGGCACTCCATCATCAATGTTTCCTACCATCCCACCAGTTACGACACCAGCGCACGCTCGATGGCAGGGATTCGTTGCGTGCCGCGCGAGGCGCTGCTTGCTGATACCACCCCCAGTCTGCTCGCACACCTGAAACTTTGCGAATATCAAGTTGCCAGTCCGTAGCAGGCCCAACTTTTGAAATTCTTTATCCTCCATCGCGACAGAACACCAATTGCAGCCTATACCGAATGTCTGTTTATTGATGTCGATGCGTGCATCGAGCCACTCTCCAATATCCCGCTGCCAGTCCTTACGCTTTCGGACCAATAAGCAGCGCGTGCACGATCTCCACGAGCAAGCACGAACATGCTCCTCATCGGAAAGTCCACCCACGCCCTCCGGCCATGATGAGCACGGTGCGTCGCCGGACATATCCACAACAGGCGATCACTGAATTGATTCAGCATCTTGGTAGCTGCGGCTGCTGTCGCCTCCTGGACCGCTGGCATGTGCCATTTGAGCCAAAATGGCTTCGGAGAAATGGGCCTCATGGGGCCTTCTTTCTTCTGGGTGGGGCCTTGTGGGCCTCTCGAGTCATCTTGGGTTGCTCGAGCCCGTCTTGTGGGTTTCTTGGGCCGTTTTTGAACAGTTTGGAGCCCCTCGGACAGCGTTGAGGCCCTCCTGTGCTAGCCTGAGCCCCTCCAAAGGCGCTGTTGGGGCGTCTTTCGGCCCTCTACTAGGGGCACGTCTTTGCCCTCCATGGGACCGTCTTGGGTTCCTCTGGTGACCCTCTTGGGCCAACATGGGGGATCGTTGCGCTACATGCGAGTACAGCTGCGAACAGGTAGTGCATGTGTAGAGCCATACAAACATGCAACACTGCATGGCGCAATGTGGGCTTACAATATGACCGGGTACCGTTTTCGCCAGCACATCAGACATACAGACGTGTGAACATATACATATACACGCACGTGTGTGCCAAGCGCATGCAGATGCACATGCACTGGTATCTACCCATATGCGCATATATGCAGATATATACATACACGTGTAACTTACACGCATTCCTGCTCCCCTTTCTCCCTCTTCTCCTCCTCCTCCTCCTCCTCCTCCTCCTCCTCCTACTCATCCTCTGCCTCCTTCTCTTCCTCCTCCCAGGCACGGGCGCCCACGAGACGAAACCTCGGCCGACCTACCCAGCGCAAGGGGCCGTCAACGAGGTGCCAAGAAGCCCTAAGTGCAAGCACTGTCTTGCGAATGCAATGCTCAAGCCTAAACGCGTCCCCTAACCAGTTTGTCTGTAAGGGTCAATTATTATTGAAGAAGCGAGCAGGTGGATCGTCATCCCTGGAAGTGTTGGATCACCGTGACCTGGTGATTGTCCTCTATGCGTGTGCTGACGATGAGAGTAGGAGGAGAATGAGGAGGAGCGGTTCTACTTATGCACGCAGCAATCGCCTCATGATCAAAACACAGAGTACTACTTTTTGCGCTACGATGGCGGATTCTGACATCGTGCTCCAGCGCCCTCGCGCTGAGAATGATATTGATTCTTACCGAACGCCTCGGCGCTCGATGCAACCAAATGTTACCGATCCATGGGGAAGACAACTTACCACCGCTGATCGCCACTGAGCGCCCCTCGCGCTCAATGAAGGTCACCATCACGGTCGTTGCCGCAGCC